AACTTAAGCCGCCAATTAACTTATGGCGTTATAAGCAGTTTGGTCTGCGTACTGATGGCGGAAAAGTAGTAGGGGAGTTGAATGTTATAGGTAGGAATTCTTCACGTCTAGACTCACTCAGACAGCAGCCACACGCGCGTACAGTGCTTTTCCCGGCGTGCGGCGGCTGTCTGAGTGAGTCTAAATGTGACGAATTTCTACTTATACCATTCAACTCCCCTTACTATTTTTCTGTAATTAGATAAAAATATGTGGTGCTCCATCGTAAGTGGATCGGTCGCATACGCGGAATCACGTTGCTGATTCCTGCGCGGTGGCAGCACATTGTAACCACATTATATCTTATCCGGGTGCGATACTGTAGTGACTTGGAGATTCCCCCGTATGACAGTGCAAATTATTCGAAAAAATGTTAAAATTATAGCTTTCTTATGTATTAGGGAATTAGGCGGTTTGCCTGTTGGAACGATGTTCCCGTTTGTTTAAAAGGCGAACCCGATATCCGCCTTTGGCAAGCGCGACTCGACTGCGAACGACGCCCGGTCCACGCACTCAACTAACTACATTCTCCAGTGCCAGTGTTGGGAAGAGTAACACCCAAATATGCACATTCTCCCTGGTTAGCTCTTATCTGGTGCTCTATTTGTAGCCTTAGCTAGGTTTGCTGCCACTCAATAAATCTTTTCCTTAGCTTATTTCCGTGTGTTCTCCCATACGCTCATGGTTGGTCGTTAGTCTCGTACCGTATATATAGCGCCCGATCAACGCGCCATAATACGCTCCCAATACCTGTAATCCGCAAAGTGGGCGTCGAGTAATCTCCTTAAATACGACACCGCATTCGCCACGACTGTTGTCTTTGGCGACTTGTTCCAATATTTCGCTACTCGATGCGCGAAGCATAGTGAGTGGGGGATACGCTTCAAATCCTTTACCACCAGTTTGTACCGGTGTTCTCGTGTGCTGCTTGGTGCGCGAACCTGCAACAGCAGCTACAAGATACGGAAGTGGTCCAGGTGCAATATCCGGTGCGTAATTATAAGCTCAACTCGAAGCCGATGATATGGCAGGGTATCAAGCCCTGGTCTCCTACATCGGTCGTCACTCCATATACCCCACTGAACTGGTGGCTAGCTGGGTAGGTACTTGCTTAACCCGTTCCAGTCTTTGCCTCACTCCTATTGTGATCTGACGATGGGTGGGTCCTATTATGGAAGAGAACAGGCGAGTGGAAATGTCTTCGGTCCAAGTGCAGAAACTGCATCTGAGTTCCTAAACCTGAGGTAATCTTTTTCTCTACAGTCTGATTTCGTTGTTGACTGACTTCAAGTTGCAGCATTACAGTACCCCTAGATCCTGTACGCGGCTTGTGAGATGCAGTGTTGGCCGCCCAGGGTGTTCATACGCCCATCACCCTCCTTCCCTAAACTCATAAATGTCGACTTCACCGGGTTGACCGGTAGGTCAACTTTTGCAGATCACATGAACAGGCGGCCGAGGTCCTTCTGAAGGACGTCACCGTCGTCGTGAGAATTATTAACCATCCAGACCTTCAGGTCATCTGCAAACAATGCATAGAGCGATCGAATAAGCTGAGGCACTTCGTTTATGTGGATCAGGTGTAACATAGGTCCCAGTACTATGGCTTGTGGTACACTGTTAGTGGAGGGGTACCATTCCGTTAATTGGTCATCCACCTGAACCCGACATTTTCTCCCTTTGAGGAAGTTACTGATCCACTGGTGCAGTGCGCTACCAACACCACACATCTTCAGCTTGTGGAGGAGGACCTGGTGGTTCACTTTATCGAAATGTTTGCTGAAATCAACGTAGATAACATCTACTGATTTGTCCCGGTTCAACACCTGCAACCATCCGTGCCGCGTCAACAGCAGGTTGGTAATGCAGGAGTGGACTTTAATGATACCGTGCTGTGCGGCCGTTAGGAGCTCTTTCGACTCTAGCAGTTGGAGAAGACCTTTTTCCACATTCCCGCGTTGCGCTATATTTGCTCGTCAAGGACCTGGCTGGTGGCGACCGCGTGATGGTCAGCCTTCCACTTGGCGTCCGCACATATATTCGCTGACGTCGTATCTAACCGCTGTTGGCTCCTTACGTCTTCCAGGATGGGGACTCAAAATTGAGGAGTGCCAATGACTTGACACTTGAAGACATGGTCCGCAACCGGAAGCAGTGTAATAATTGTGTACGGAATTGCATTGATCCACATGTTTAATACTTCAAACATTGAAAATGACAAAAAGGAAAAGGACAAAAGAAAAGGAAAATAAACTAATAACTGCTTTTTAATTTTTATTAAAATATTCCTTTCTTCCTGCGGCACATTAGCTGCAGTGTGTTACTCACCCTCAACTAATAGGCTACGATGATTATGACGCAGTGACTTCCCCTTATTTGCTAATCTCCATAGCTTTGTTGGCTTTATGTCTACTTGCTAGACTGTTGAGATTACATACATTTTTCACATTCTTTTTGAGTGTCTTCGCCAAAACAGTGTTGAGACAAATGGGCCGGTAATTGTCCATCTTGCGTGAACCACCGCCTTTTAGAACCGCTTGCACTACCGAGCATTTTCCGTCACTGCAATGCACCATCAGACAATGCTCTGTCGAACAGATCAGTCACAGCAGGCGAGATGATGGGCGATAGGGGTTTTAGAGTTAGCGGATGCAGACCGTCGGGTCAAGCAGACTTCGGCCGTCAAGACTCGCGAGTAGACTGCGGACATCTTCCACATGGTAATCAAGGCACTCGAGTTCCGTAGGAGCTTCACACGTCGAGTTTGGCACATGTGCATGGCCACCTGTAAATACGGAAGCGAAGTGCGCAACCAATGCGGACTCACGCTCAGTGCTGTATGTTAGAGCCTGTCCATACGAGTTCTCTAACGCTGCTAGGTCACCTGTGGACCTCAGGCGTCGCTTCACGTAAGCAAAACTCTTCTTAGGGCCCGACTTCGCTGAGCTTGCGAGCTCCTTTTCGAACTGTCGACTATCGTGTCTTAATGCTGTTACATAGATTCCGCTGCCTTTTGTAAGCATCATAATCGCCGATAGAGTCAGATACGAGGAATTTGTTCCACAATACTCGTCTCCACCGCGCTAAGTGGCCATATTCTGTCGCACCAATGCGGCTTCACTGGTTCAGTTTTCCTATATTCGAGGGGTATGAAACGGTCGCACAACAATTTCACACCCTCTTTGATAACAGACCGACAGCCTACAACATATGAATCCTGCGGTAGCGACCAATCCACTTCACTAGCGACTCGATTTAGACCATCGAAATCTTCCATTAATAGTAGGACGGCTCCAACGGACGCCAAAAGGGTAGCGACAGCTCTAGACTGGTTACGACCCTCGAGTGTCTACAGGCTCTAGGGACTGAGCATCATAAACACGTTGATCTCAACTTTAATTGTGGTTCCAGGCACGATGGAGCGGAATGCGGTGTAACGCGCGTCGGTTGACAGTCTTGTCTTCCTGCCCCGTTCTCAAATATCTTCTCCATAAACTGCGCCTGGATTTCCTCGTACCCTGGGAAAATTTGAAATTCAAGCCACAGTATTCGGGGGAAACTAACATCGTTCGTAAGCAGGAAGTGGGGCTGGCTCATGTAGCATCTGACATACGGTTACCAATCCAGACGTCGACTACGTGAGCTGCGATAAGCTGCACCCACAAACAGCTTACTCTGTCTTAATCGGATCGAGCACCATAGTTGCTCGCACAGGCCATCTTCGCTACGATTTGTGTTTACCAGTCTACCGCACGGCGTGGACCGAATGTATTGCAGCACACCACCGCGTTTGTTCGGTAGTCTGTCGCACCGGAAGCAGGAGTAACCACTGATCTGGAATTCCGGGTTAGTGATCTCAGGATTTAACCGTTTCGGCCTGTTTAGATTCGTCCGGACGACGAGAGGCAACGAAGTGATATAGATCGCCACGTTCGTTCATTAAATTATAAAAATTGTGAAGGCTACACGCAGGCCGCCGTAGGAACCGCCGGGAGCGCATGCAGCGTCATCGACCTGTTGACCCGAGTGGGGCGGATCTGGGGAACTACCCGAAAATTCACGATGGGAAGATTACTTTATTCATTAGCGGTAAGCCGTTTCAACTCAAAGCGGATTTCAGTTTCTCTCGGTCCGACGAATCCATATCTGGACGAATATAGATTTTCAGCCCTTTTAGCCTACCGAGGCGGAACAGTACCAGCCTCGGACTCACTTCATCAACAAACGTGACTCATAGAGGCTAGGATTTTTCCTCCTTTTTCCAAGACGAGTGCTTTGCTTCACTCTCAAACCCTATTCACCCTCATCGAGGAGCCTGTCAATCAGGCTCTGTAGAAATTCGACGTCGTGATCATAACGAGCCTGAGGATTCGTATCCTTTGACTCAGGCGCGTGAAATATCATAAGGTTGCAACGCCGCTGGTCGCTGGCAGTTGCTCTCTCCTTCTTACTTCGTTGCGTTCGCCATTCGCCTACTTCGCTTGAGTTATCGCACACCGGGTTGCTAGTGCCCGTCGGACGCAACACAGTCACACCAGCTCGACCTCCACTACCGGATGGACATGATGATGATGCTGCCAATGTTGATAATGTTGATTGATAAACAATGGTGCTCCTATCTTTACAATTCCAATTATCGTCCTGCCCTTTTGTCCTTTCTGGGAGGGACGCTGGTTCAGGTGCTTTGCTCCTGGGGTGCTATTTCTGGGAAATATTCACTTTTAATATGTCTCGAATTGTCGCACCTTCGGAGATATGCGTAGCAAGTTAAATGACCTTGGCCTTCCTGATTATTTTATCCGAAACCATGCATTGTTTTTCATGCTCCCATCAGTTGTTCGTCGCCGATACCACTGTCATGGGTTTTATTGGCTATGGTCGTATATTGAACCTCAACAGCGCCGTCAATCTAGGTTTGTATGTCATAGCATTTTGCTCCTTTTACTGTTACTTGCTTCTAGGTACACCGTTCACGGAACGACCGAAGCGACCGTTCTTCTCACCTTTCCTCGAGCGGACGTTCCATTGTGGCCGATATAACCAACAAGCCCACTGTACACGCTGTTCTGGATACACCGGCGCAGAGCGATGCACTGCGATATGTCCTTCACATAACCAGTTGGGCCAAGCGATCCGGTGCCTTGAAAAAAGTACAACATCGTCACGCGGCTCCGGCCATGGACCTCACTCATCCACTCCTCTGTTGTGGCCTGTGTTTGAGGCCGCTGGTCATGTGATACAATCTGTCTGGCATCCTATAATGTCGCCTGTCTTGTCAGTATAGAATGACTTGACGTCTGGTCACTGCACTGTCCGTTGCGGTGATCTTTGTTCAGTACGCTCTGCACCCCACCATCCGCGATTAGAACAGCAAGATATTATGTCCAGCAGCAACAGCAGTGATGCAACCAGAACAAAGACACATGCATTGTTGTTCCAAGCATTCACTGAGAAACTATCATCCATAAATCTAACATTCGTCACAAGGAGAACCGAGTCCATTTTAGCTAGAGCGTTGGCAAACGGAATGCATGAATTCCAATAGGACACAGAGTACAGGATCACCTTCTCAACCTTGTACAGACAGTATGAAGACATCTTCCTGCTTGACGATGCGGCCAAATTACGGTCGTTGTTTCGGAAGATGAGAGCAACTATACAACCATAACTGTAACTTCATACTATCGAAACATTCCCGCGATATCACTTTCTTGGCTACTGTCTATGTCCTCACTTCCATTTCTGCTGAAAGATCATCAATTTTTAACACCCGTTATCATTGTTTGAAGTTGATTAAAGATTCACCCAAGAATTGTTTCCTACACATGTACGGTGAATGATTCATACAAACGTTTCATGCTCAAGCGACTTACAGACGATAAGAAGACAAGCACAACGTTTCGTGTTATCTGACCACTTGCAAACTAACATATATAGATCATGGTATAGGTGGAAATTCATCACATCTGGAATCAGACAACTGTCACAAGCCCGGAAAAGCACTGTGCGCCCGTTTCATCTTTATGGGAATCGTCAGCAGTGCGTGTTCCACGTGATCCTTGTAGGGCTCAAACCCGAGACTCGACTGTTACCAGTTGATGGTTGAAACCGGTGAGCTACGGGAGATTGCAATGAACGTCGGAACTGTTGTTGGATGAGATATGGCACCGCTCGCTATCCAGTGATTTACACGTTGCTGCCGTTCAGAGGACAAGGCGAGAAGACAACAATCCCTTTTTATTCCTCAGAAAAAGCAAACAGACACAAACAACAGATGATTGCGCTGGGTCAAAAGTCATTAACACCAAAGAAGCTTAAGGGCTACTGTTAGCTACTTTTGTACACAAAGCGTAGGATGGCGCCGATTAAGTGCCACGGCCTTTGTAAGCTACTGCAACCGCAGCGTTTTGGATTCGATAGAGTCAGGGTCAATATGATGACCTGTACTGATCAGGTGTCTAGCGATGGATGATGCCGATAGTTTGTCTGCCGTTCCTTATCCGGTTGCTTGTTGTGTCATCAGTCTAGCAATTCGCTCCGGAATATGCTCTCCAATTCGCTTATTCAGACCACGATCTGTTCAGCCAATGTAACCCGTCAGTTTGCAAGTGATCAGATAACGCGAAATGTTTCCATCTTGCAGTGCTCGTCTTCTTATCGTCTTGTTTAAACCGGTACATGGAACTCAATGCTTTACAGACGATCAGTACAAGTCACCCATTCTTTGTATTTGGCCTAACTTCTACAGTTGATGCAGAAATCCAAACAAGTCTGGACTCATCTCCCGAGCTCACCATTCAGGATGTCACCGCAGTGTCAGCGCCTGGTCAACTTAATAAGTAACCCATATTTTTGAGTCGAGATAACTGGTGTCAGAGATCGCGATAGTTGATGCACTTTTTACAGACAGAAGTGTATAACCCTGCACGACAGAAACCCCAATGGGTTTATTGGAATTGTGCTGAGTAGCATTTTTCTAGAAACTATCCGTTCATCAATCACCAGTGCACCTTCTGCCACAAGAAAGGCCATAAAGAAACACAGTGCCGATCCACCCCACGATGCCCTTATTGGGAAGAGGGGGGGACTAGTCAAGATCGTCTCAGCAACGCTTGATCAAATAGGAGTTTAATGTGGCTTATGAAACTGCACGGGATAATGTTTTCCCTTCGTGAGTTCATCACCATCACTATCGGTAGTCACCCAGTGCGCCTACAGCTGGATACCGCATCTGACACTACTATCATCTACAGTCGAACATGGTCGGCTTTCTATGGACCGATACTTGGCACTATGGAAAATACCGCAAGGAGTGCATCGAACAATATCCTGTGAATATGTTTACAAAAACGATAAACATAATTTTGTCTGTTACGTTTCTGACAATCCGGGATAAAACATACTTGCTATCGAGTGGATCACCGCGTTGAAAATGTGGTATCTTTTTCTTGATGCTCTGTACCATCCAACCGAGGAAAGCCTGTTAGGTTCTGACCGCGGTACGCAATTTACGACAGTTATTTTCACAGTTTGGCTAACTGAACCCTTTGGTTTCTGATAACGGTACATAATTTATCTCGGATGAACTGTGTTTTTTCAGTGTAATGGCGCTAACCACTGCCGGTCGCTTCCGTGGCATTCCCAATCCAACGGACATGCAGAAGGATTTGCGGATTCTTTTAAGCGTTCACTCCTAAAACTGCGGGGGTAGGACCGACAGGGGAGATCACACAGCTGTTCCTGTTATCTGGCTATGTTTAACCCCGCTGCACCAGGTGGCATATTCTCAGCGGAATCCATTTAAGATGTGAACTACCTCCACTAGTTGATGCAATAAGCCAAATTACGCAACGGCCGCTTGCGTCAGGGATGAGCAGGAGTTTTCTACCAGGGAAGCCGATGTACGCGTTGGATACAAGGTCGAACCACCAAACGTGGCAGTCTGCAGTGGTACGCAAAAGAAAAGGCACTGTGCTGTACGATGTGTCTATCGGACTGTCGTCTTTCCTTTGACACATCAGTCAGTTACGCAAACGACGGGTCCAACACACAATCTCTTCCACTTTTGAGTTGCCGTTGGATGTACTGCTGGACACGTTTGAACTACCAAATCTCTGGAGCTCAGGTAGCCAACAGGAACGCCTACAGAGTTATGCCATGAGGTTGTTTAGAGATCCATGTAGGCAACCATCTGTATGACTTTCACAGTTGAATCCTGCATTTCATTTCTGTGATCCAGGGAAACAGCGTATTTTCGAAGATGAGGACCTTGGATCAGTCGATCCGGTACCCATTAGCTTCACTTAGACCCACCGCTCCACTATGGCTCATGTGCAGTAGTAGTAGTAGTTGCTGCTGTTGTCGTTGTTGTTGTTGTAGTATAAGCAGCAGTCTGTTAACTAGACAGAGCCAAACAAACCCACCGAAACACTGGAAGAAGACAAGTTTAACACTGCACCATCATTACGGCATCTTGGCTGAAAGTAAGCAACATACTTCAGCTATCGCGCCACAATACAAGAAAAAATAACAGATCATTTTTGTTGTTTTGCACACACCACTTTTCATTTTTTGTCCTTTTAAAACGTTAAGTATTAAGGATCTAAATTTAATCAATTATGAACGCAGAACCTTCACTGTGCTGTGTACGCCGCCGATTATGCGCAGCGGCTTTTCTGACGCACCATCTTTCCTTACCCTCTATTGTTGGCTATTTTACCATTATGGTGTGACTCGATGTGGACATTACACTGCCCGGTGTCATAAGTCTTTAGACTGCTCTACGCTACATCAATCGCGGTTGTAACATTCAAAATACGAGGCGCTGTCACAAGACCATACTGTCACACTGCTTGCTCCAGCTATCAACGGACAGCCACTGGAAATCGTACGTAGACTAGCTTACACTGATAACCTTATCACCTTCGGTTATCGCGTCACTGAGGATATTGCTGAACGTATCAACACAGCCTGTGTGGCTTTTTAAGTCTCAATTCTCACTAGAGACATTTGGATATCGGTGTCAGTCAAAGGTAGGATGGATAAAGCTCTACGGTAAGGCCGGTATTACTACGGAGGTCAGAATCATGACAACTTCACATTGAAGCCTAAGAGACTGGTCTGCTTCGGTCATCTGTGCTCTGCACGATATAAATGACCTCTTTTGGGGCACTAGTTTAGTAATGCGTGAGCCATCGGTCGGTGTTTGAAGTGTGACTCACCTTTGGAACTGTTTTGGAGTGCCTGTTAGACGAACACCATAACGTTACTTTGGGCATGTGCTTCGTATTCCCATTTACTGTACACTCTGAGCTTCACTTTAGTTTCGCAGCAGTATCAGTGTTTAAAGTCTTAGTCTCGCGAGTCATGGCAGCTCTGTGTGCATTAATTTGGTGTTCGAAACCTCTACTTATCTAACCCGCACTGAAGCGTCTCTTTACTAATACCGTATAGTTGGGATTTTTTAGTAGATTATTAACATCTTTGCTTTATCTTTTTTTGTACCTACAAGTTTTACTAATTCACGGCGGAAGAATAACGGATACTGGCATCTGACTCCTAATGCTGGGAAGCGTCGTGAGAATTTCCGGTATCTCGGAGGGGTGTCTTTTCAGATGCTTCCATAGCCTACCTTCCACCAGTGTCCTCTCGGCCTGTAGCCTAAAGGTAACAAGCTTGTCTTGTAATCTGACAGCGCTGGTTCGAGCCTGCGTAGGGGCAGGGTGACCTTCGAACTACCTTTGGCCCACGCGCGACCGCTTGTGGTTGCTCGGCAGCAAAGCGTCAGTACTACGTACCGGCGTACTTCTGATGCCTTGCCTCTCCTGTCTTTAACGACCAGACTGTTTATGTTCTCCACATCTATTAGTTTCACTGACTTCTTTGTAGTGCTAATGGCTTAAGCCTGTAAATAACACTTTTTCCCATACTTTAGTGTCATTTTTGATTTCAACCACATGGTTAGGCGGGCTTTGCGTTGTACAAGAACGTGTCTCTCAAACACAAGTGGTAGGTGAACCCGTACGCGTGCTGTTTCCAACCAGTGTTGTCAAAACGGCAAGAATTCGCAGCACTATGACAACCACGTCTATGTTTGGATACAATACTGTAGTTTTGCATACATTCTATTCCTTCCTCCTCGTATCCATTTCTGCAATAAAATTCTTTCACAAAGTGACCAAATTGGAAATCCCTAACTCATCAGTGATCAGCGTGTGGAAAGTGACCGCATTTGCGAGGTATACATATCACTATCTAGGGTTCAATCGAATTCTATCACACTCATACCCGTTGCTTCCCGGCTTTTTGGCCTTGAGCGTTACATGCACTTATGTTTGCCCCACCTACAAGTGCGCATTCTGATGATGAATACATACATATCGCAACTCCATGGTTCTACTTATTGTTAAAACACTTTCTAGTTGGTTCGACTCTTAATCAGGACAGACGGAACACTTCCCCGAGAGTGCTACCCAACTAAACTCCTCTCAGCACACTGCAGCATTTAGTGCACAAACCACACTGACACTAACTGTTTCTCTCATGACATCACCACTACGCTGAAACTCGTGCATTGCCAACGTCCACCTCCCTTTATAGTTTGTGTATTTTGTTGCTGCACTATTAAACTATGTATATGAAGTTGCAGAAGGTATGATTTACCTTCTGCTGGGTCAATAAACGAACTCTTGCCGTCTGTCAGACTTTTCTGGGTCTCGGTGCCCTCGTGCGAGTTTACGCGTTTCCTTCACAGTCTCAGCTAGCATGCACAACGTCAAGCGCCTGTGTCACTACAGCCGTACCAATTCGAATTCATTTGGTAATTTGCGCCTGGGGTACTGTCGGTGAAGAGCGTCTCGTCCGTTCCGATAGGAATTAGAAACGACTAGGACGCGTTTTGACAAATTGGCCACGGAGTTAGGATGAATCATTAGTCCTCATCATTAGTACACAACTAATGTGCCGCAATGCAAAAAGAGAAGAGGCTAACAAATT